AGTTCAAAAGTAGTTTCCAGCATCATCTGTAAAACATTATTAAGAGGCTGAAGGGAGGCTGCCCTATCATTGAGTTCACAGCACATGGCTTCTAAACTTCATTAGGATAAACAAAATGCATCACAATGCAAATGCTTTATATATTTTAAAGAAAAAATTAAAGGGATCTCTCTTACCTGTGCATTCATATTATCACTGTATGTGTTTTCATTTTCGTAATGAGGGAATGGAAAAGAGTTCCTAGCGGGTGACATACTCCAGCCTTTCTCAGCAGTAGGGTTGCCAGCTGCCAAATGCGGGTGCCGATTTCTCTCCCCGCGTGTCAGTTTTGTTTAGGATACGAGGGCGGTTGCTAGGCGACGGGGTCTTTTAGAGTCTTCCGGTCACTACGTATTAAAGCGCCCCCTGATGGCTGGAAAGAAAAGCGAAGCTCTTGGGAGGCAGAAAGAAACCAGAAAAGCGGCGCGGGGCTGGAAAGGACAGAAGCCAGCACGCGCTTTATGCTCCACGTGAAATAAAGAAAAACGCGCCTTTATAAGGACACTTATAAAGTCGAACCCCCCTTTCCTTCATGTTTACGGCCCATGGTTGAAGCGCATTGAATAGCTCCGAAAGACTTTCTAACAATTCTCTCCTCTCCTAAACCCCAGCGGGGCTACTCCGAAGAGTTAGTCCCAAGTGAACGGAAACATTAAGGCACCGCCAGTCAAACACCAAAGAGAGAAGCGAGGCACCCAGTTTAATAGTCTCAGAGCCCGACAATAACTTGAGTTAAAAGGAACGCGCTCCCAGGAACCGGCAGGCGAGGGGCGAAGAGAGTCGGGCCGCTCCTGAGTCGAGAACGGCTGCCCCGAAGCGCCACCCGTTACCCGGCTCGGGATTGGATCGTTAGTGCAGCGCGCGTGGCTTGAGCGACTCCGGCGAGGCCTGTCTGGGGGCCGCTGAAGGAGCGCTTCGAAAGCAAACGGCTGTTCCTTCGCCGCGCGCCACAGCGACTCGCGCGCTTCTCGAGCCTCAGGTGCTCCTCGGCCTCGGGAGGGCCGCGCGGCGGAGGCAGCTGCGGTTGCTAGGCAGCGAGGTGTGGGCGGTCCGAGGGGGCGGGGCGGGCTCCTGCATCCCTTTCTGCCCCCAGAGCGCGGCTACCGTCGCACCTGAGTCGGTGACTGCCTGCCCGAGGCACAGCGCGACTACCGGCTCCTTCGCTGTTTCTGCTGCGCCACGATGGCTGGGGCTGGCAGGCTCCATCCCGCTGAGGGGATTACCAGATGCTGCTGCTGCTGCCGCCACCCTGTTGTGATCGGCTGGAGGCGCCTGCCGCTCCTTCTGCTCTGTCTGTGGTTGCTGCTTTGGGCGGGCGCCGCTACCCAGGTTGAGAATCTCCACGCCTGCAAAGAGGTACCCGCGGAGTGACAGGGTGACATCTTACTCTTTCTGCGTGGGGAGGGGGGGGTGGAAGCGCGTGGGGGGCGCATCTGTGATCAGGTCGCAAGAGTGAAATCGGGAGATCCTACCTTAAAATCATTGGCGAAATATCCTTGTGTACATCCTGGATCCCCCCCCCCCCAAAAAGGAGTCTCCCATCAAAGTAAGAAGAAAATCCACTCTAGCTGCGCTCCGTTTCTTTCACTTAGGTCTGAATGGGCAAAAGCAAAAAAGCTTTGGCAGATTTTCATTGAGATGGGCATTGTCAAACATTATAAAAATCTGGCTCCCCCCCCCTAAGTATTTTGGGCAACTAAGAAATAACACTATTTAGGATCAATTTCTATGTAATGTTTGTGTGTTAAGGGGTGCGTGTGTTAAGAGTGGCAGTAAACTAACTTGATACCATTGCCTCCCTTAAAGGAGGAGACTTCGGAATGAGCAAAATTTTGGACAGCAATGAATCAGCACTGGGGCTGAGTTTCCTTAAATCATTGCCCTCTGAATTTTGTACATGCTGCCTGTGAGACCTCTTTGTTATCTCCATAGAAGTGGACAGGCATTGATGCTCTCTAAAGACCCACCCATTCTACTTCAAACATAGCCTTTATAGCGTATTTATGGTGACATAGATTTTTGCTTATAGATGTGTTAGACTTTAAGATGCAGCTGTGTTCCCTGTCATTTAACAGTCTCTTTGGCCTAAACAAATGTTCTAAAAGCAACAGTGATACCTTTGGCTTAAAGCAAAGGACATTGCAAGAATACAACTTGCAAAGCAGAAGAGAGTCGTCTTTCAACTGCTGCTTAACTTTATAGCTGATGAATATTTGTTGGGCTGGATCCCACACCCACTAGGTGCTGTCTGCAATTTACCTTGAGAAATTGACCAATGTTTGCCTATTTTTTTCCTTTCAGGTTACGTGGCAGATTGTTAGTGAGTCAGACAGTATTAACTTCCTAGTAGATTAATATAGTATTACCTTAATGTCTTCTGAGCTTGTTTTTGTTTCTTTTTGAAGGATATAAAGTATGGAAATGAAACTAAATACAGTGAAATAAAATGGGGTAAAATAATTATAATAAAAGAATAGCCAGGCACATGAGAGTTAATACCCTTGTATTTGATTGTTATACAGACGATTGTTGCATTCCAGAGGCTGAAAATGGGTGAGGCAAGGGACACTTCTTGCCATATGGTTCGCTTTTTAAAATTGCTTTGGAAATGCCACTTTTCTGAATTTATTGAAATACAGTATTTTTCCTATTGCAGTTTTATGAGTAGCTTCTTAGATTTTTTTCAACTCATTACACTGAAAATTGTACCACTTCAAAAGTTATTGCCATAGCCAGAAAGGACTTTCTGAAGCTGAATTTGGTAACCTTTGTCAACCTAGTGCCCTGCTGTTTTTGGAACTTCAATTTCCATAATTCCCAGCCAATATGCTAACAGCTGTGCCAGTTGAGAAATGTAGTCTTACCATAGCTAAAGGGTAGCTAGTTGAGGAAAGTGAAATTATAGTGAAACTCTATATATACATTAAGCATATATATGTTCTATAAAATACACAGATTGCTTTTTATTTTATTACTGCTTATGCAGTAATTGTTTCTTTGTTTTCTTTCTTTATTGACAATATAGTAGTTCAAAATAAACAAACTATAAAATTATGAAAATATGACTTCTTAAACACTGAACATTTTAAAAATCAATACAAGAATGGGATATAACCACAGTGCATCAATTAAATTTTAAGCAGGCTATATTATTGTATGTTTGTGAATGTTAAAATTCCAATTCTAATGGAAATATGAGTGTAGTAGATAAAATAAGGAGTCTAGCAAATAACTTAACTGTTAAGCTGTCATAAAGATCATCCAGGTTTTCCTGAAGACTCACTAGGAGGCTATGAAAAAGTTACAATACTAGTTTTTTCCTCAAAGACATATTGTTTCTGAATCACGAATAAGTATGCATGCATTTGGTTATAGGACCAACACATGGATGAATTCATTGTGTCTTTTATAAATATTTTTTTGTAAATATATATGAAAATGAGACCTGTGAGTTTATTACTGGAGCTGTACTTTCAATCTTTAACAATATTGTAAGGCGAAGGTAAAGGAGTATCCATGGGCAGAAGATCAGGGGTAAAAAAATCAAGATGGTAGATGGGACCACTTGACCAAAGGCCTGTCCCTTGTTTATGTGTGTTACATGGTGAATATATAAAAGGGACAGGACTTTTGTTGTGTTATGGTCACCATTTTGACTTTCTGACCATTAAAGACTCTTCTGGTTGAAGATGTTCATTTGTTAATTTATAGTGCTGAGCAGAGGAAAAAAATTACTTTGATGTGGGTTTATACAAAACAATTTTTAATGATCTAGAGGAGCTACACAGTATGCTTTTCTTATCGTGTAGGCTAAGAGATTAATATAAATCCCAGGATAATGTGGAATAATTTTGGAATAATCAACACTATTTCTTTTTGATGGAAAAGTATTCTGAATACTCTTTTCTCTGTACTCTCACAATTACATAAAAATAAATATTTGGTTTAAATATGAAATGGTAAGCATCAAAAATTCTTACCATTTCATTTGTCCAAAAGTTTATTTCATTAAAAGTGCTGCTTACTGAAGAAATGTAATTTCCTCAGAAACAAGTTCTAATTAAATATTAGAGATTTATTCCAAATGATTTCAGGTTCACATACAAAAATATAATGTGACTCCTGTTGAAGGTGAGTCCCTTGGAAGATTAGTGGAACTTTTTCCAAAGAGAATGTGCTTTGGCTAATGGCCAGATGGCTTGATGATCATCTTGGCAATGACATTATGTACTTAGGTTTTCATTTGATAAAAAGACTTTTATTAATTACTTCCTTTTAACTGGTCAAATAAGATGATTAAAATTAAATAGCAGTGCACTGCAGTTGTTCTTTTTTACTTGCAAGATCTGCACAGATTTTGACCCACCCAAGTAATACTACCATTATGGTATGTACTAGGAGTACTAGGTTTTAATAACTTTCACAGTTTTGGAGTTTAGTATAGAAAAAAAGGTTTCTTAAAGCCTAGATGGGAGCACTACAGTACTTAGTACTCTGCAACTCTGCCTTCTGCAGAAAACCTAGATGAAGAGAATTGGTTCTCATTACTTACCTGTGCTTAGCTTTTATTATTAATGATATCATATGAATGGTATATAAATATCTCATCAACTTCAAGCCTGAAATGGAAACAATATCGTTGCTTTTAGTATGCCGGGATACTGAGAAAAGGAAAGTGATAATAAATGCATTTAAGGACAATACATTTCATTTAAGGACTTCAAGTTATTGGTAAGATTGGTTCTGCCTGCAGATGTCCTGGAGCTGTGGGAGCAGCTAGATGCATTTTGCAAAAGCCCTGATTTCTGGCCAGTGGAGGATTGCCACCATGTTTCATCAGATACATTTATGTGAGTCACCCCAGCCATGCTGAGCATTGTGGGCCAAGAGTAAAAGAAGATTTTTTTTTATCTGGCAGGTTCAGTTCGGAATAGCAGGACTTGAAAGAGCACTTCTTGAAAGCCTCACTAAGGGGGTAGAAAGAAGGTGATGAGGAAAATGAAAGGCAACATTTATTTTTTTTCAGCTAATTCCCTATTTAGGGTTGTCGCCATGGGAGAGCCAAGCATTGTTCCAAATCCTATCATAATTGCTTAGTTATCTTTAGATAAGAGGAGGCAAATAAGAGGAGAAAAATAAGAGGTGGGGATAGAGAAAGTAACCTTCTAATCCTGTGGTTGCTATTTGAAAAAAAAAATCAAAGGGTTTGGGCAATATTCGCTGGGAATGTTGACAATGACATTTGGAATATATCAGATTAGAAAGTTTTAAGAACAAAATAGACAAAAACAATGGTCTGTTCCTGTCTCTCCAACATCTGGTATATAGGGAATTTCATGCTGGTCTAGAAACCAGGAGACTCTGCGTTTCAGCCTTCCTTTAGCCATGAAACTAAGTTGGGGGACTTAGAGCCAGTCATTCTCTCTCAGCCTAAATTGTTTTTCAGAGTTACTGTTGTGGGGAAAATAGAAAGCAGGAATACTAAGTATGTTCACCATCTTTTGTTGACCACAATATATAAAAGGCAGGATAAAAATGTAACAAAAATCAAGAAAAAAGAGCCAAAATCATAAGAGCAAATTGTTCAAACTACTGAAATCAAGGCCAGAATTGAAAAATGATTAAATGATTCAAAGTGCAGATTGTGCAAAGAGGCAGAAGAAACAGCAGCTCATATATGGAGCTGATGCAAGAAGATAGCACAAACTGATAATAAACAACATAACACAGCCTCCAGAATGATTCACTGGAACATCTATAAAAGTTATCATGTGCTAGTAATAAAAAAAAATTGATGGGAACATAGAGTTGAAAAACTATCAAAGATGAAGAGGTTAAAATATTGTGGAATTTTCAAACACAAATTGATAAAGGTGTTGGCTCATAACATACCAGATTGAACTGTGGTTGAAAGGAAGAAAGTGTGGATAATTGATGTGACAATACCAGGGGATATCCAGTAGAATAGAAGATAAAGCTTTGGAGCAGATCATAAAGTACAGATCATCCTCAATTTATGACAAAATTCCATTGATCAATTACAAAAGGCAACACTGCTTGGATCTGCACATATATTACACCGATAGATTATGACATCCTAGGTTCTTGGGAAGAACTCGATGTGGATGAAGGTCAACACTAGTTAAATGAATTCACATTCTGTGAATTCACATTCTGTGTAAATAATAATAGGATTACAAAATAGAAAATGAGGAAGCTGACGTGCTTTAGCTTTAGAATTCCAACAAGGAAGAACTGGAGAAAATAACAAAAATCAAACCTGCAAATAGAAATAGAACAACTGTGGCAAAATAAAACAAAAATAGTACCACTAGTAATAGGTCCCTTGGATTCAA